ACGGTTCCTTTGGGCGTTTAGGGGATCCTGTTATTCCCATGGTTGTCGTAAGAACCAAACGGACTGATGACTACGATACGTTGGGTTACTGTGTGCTGTCATACCTTGGAATAGGTGGCACAGGTGTGTGTAGACAAGACAAGATAGATGAGATGTATAGCTACAGGTTTCACATATGAACGATATTCACTTTCATTCTCTAACTCCAGGCTAATTGCCTCCTTGTGCAGGTGTTGATTTGTACAGAATTATTAAAATAAAATAAAGTTAAAGAACTCCAGTTTTCATGTTGCTATAATCTGGCACAACAGATTTACTGTGGTACTGTGACAGAATCGGATCTAACATTAATAGTAAGTGTGCATAGACATTGTTGGGCACATTTCGTAATCCTCCAGGCCCGTCAGTGTTTTCAGAGTGTACGATTGTAAATATTACTCGTACCCACCTGAAGAGACACAGATACGTATATACCTAATTAATAAATTGTCCATTTAAACAACAGATACGAAGACACAACCAGAATCGTTGAAGATGTCTGAGACGGGGTCATCAGTCACTGCAGCTCCTCCACCGGCAATTACAGCACCGCCGATCCCTCCGTGTCGGAACTATCCCCTTACATAAGAAGATCAGGCTGGGATTGGCAACTAATGGCCACGCATGCTTGCTATTTTGCCTTCTCGACTGACATTAATTGAATTAAAGACAGCGACACATACTGTCTTAAAATCCCATGGACATGATCGGTTTATCTGTCCTCAATCTGTAGTCATATTACAGAAAGGGTCAGGCAAGCATCCGCGGTTCAGTGCCAGGGAACTCAGTTGGAATTACCATAAAACCCAGGTGTACATGTATGCAGCCATAACACATTCACAGATGTTGGAATCAAACAGTTTTTACGTCCATGTATTACTTGTTGTGTATATACCATACATGAATGGTAAAGGATCAGTGTCTTATTACTTTTACACTCGGAAAGTCATTGCAAAATGTGCAATTATCCAAATGAATTCATGGGCATGGCAGTACAACCATTTCATGTGCTAACACATTAGGTGTTGGTTAGAATCCCTGTGAAAGTGTAATAACAAATATATGCTACATTTGACCCTTTCTGAATGGCACTTTGTAAAGCGTACTCCAGTTTCTGATGAAATATACCTGCATAATCACGGTCCCGATCCACACAGCATTCGTAGCGCTACGACATTCGTAAGTCTATGGTAAACTATAGAGTTACGACAGGTCGTAAAGTTACGAACGCTTTGTGGATCGGGTCCCTGGGCCCCGTTCCTCAAAGCGATCGTAGCTCTAAGGTGATCGTAACTCCCATACTTTAACATAGACTTACGACTGTCGTAGCGCTACGATCGCTTTGAGGAACGGGGCCCAGTACCCTAATTTATGCAAGTTGCCCTATGTTCTAAGTAACACCAACGACACATATTGTTTGGACATGAAACATACACGCACTCATGTATTGCGCTGTTATCTGTTGCAATGCATTCAGTGAGATGCTTCAGTAACCACGAACATCTGTTTCCGTTATCTCGGGTAACTCAGACTGGAATGACCAGACGCTGACCAGTACAGCTCATCAGTGGGCATAACGATGGCTAGTACGTGCAGAGTGATGGCACGAAGCTGGCCTTTGGTCAGAGAGAGATCGCGATGACTGGCGCACTGAGTGATAGTAATTGAAGCAACGTGTATATTAGACTTGATTAATAGTTTAAATAATTTCTAAATTTTAAAATAAATCAACACATTGCCCTCCTTACTGACTGGTGTCATTACTACCCGCATATCTAGACTTGTATCTTTAAAGGATTCAATTACTATTAATATGCGCCACTAAGCAGTACTTTTGGACTGGAATTGGCGTTATATAAATGTTTTCATGATGATGATGATGAATTACTAATAATAATACATCCATGGGCTTAGCATTCAGTACAGCCTTGTAACAAGGCTACGTGTATATGCAGATACAGATATATATGTGTGTTATCAGAGACCGGTATATGGTCTCTGGTGTTATGTATACCGTTGGTGAACGTCTGCATTTCTACGAAACGAATCGACGGCGTTACATTCATATTCGTAAAATAGAACCTGTTTCATGTACGCTTTGACAAAACCGAGGAATGGAAGCTTTGTTGCCACAGATGACTTTGATAGGTTTCTCTCTTATGTATCTTTTTCCGCGTCCTCCGATTGGCTTTTCCATCATTTGGAAGTTTTAACGTGAGGTGAAATTTGGTTTGTAGCTAAAATAGTTGTTTTAATCAACGTAGTGATAAGTAACATAACCAACGTGGGTACCAGATTGAATTGTGTGAAATTCTGCTGTTACTTTATGGTGAACACATGAACGTTAATAGCATTTTCTTATTAAAAATGTTGATACCCTCCCATAAACCTCTATATCGAAGCAATACGTCTAAAAGTCAAAGTTTGCCACACAGTATAAAGGACATACGTAAGGTTTAACGTCCCAAATGACCTATCACGTCAGTTTATACGAAGTAAAACACATGACGTTAAACGAGCGGGGACGTGGGCATCAATAGCTATAACATAGCTGTAAATGAACACCACATTTGTACTCTGGCTTCGTTTGATCATCAGTATTGAACATAATCTTATCTGTGATAACTGATAAGATAGGTAATCATCATCGATTTCAAATGTGAAAATCCTGTTCATTTAGCCAGTAATACCATCATCCCCTATCCTATCGATCGCTGTGGTTAAATTAGTTACATTAACAATGGGGTAATTGGATTGTGTGGGTAATAGGAGGGCGTAGTTGACCTGAGGGTTCTTGTTGAGAATTTAACGAGATACAAAGTAACAAACATATCACTCAATCCAGTATGAGAAGTTAAAATGTTTGTCCTAGTTGTGATGGCACTGATGGTCGAGGCGTCCAAGGCACCGCAATCAGCTGTGTAGAGTCGCGTCCCCTTGGTCAGCTGCAACCTATCACTGTGGGTTCGAATCTCACTTCGTTCTAATTATATTTTTGAGTTTTCCAGCACAGTACTCGTGGGTTTCACCAAGGCGATAAATGTCTGCGACCTGCAACGCCCCCACACACACACACACCCTGATGCTCACAGGCTACTGTGGGTGTAAACTCAACTCACTCACTCATAGAGAATTCACTCTCAACAAGTAGCCTACCATATATTTTCAAAGAGTGAAACCAGTATAATAATTCAGTATTTAGTCCAAGTTAATGTTGCTCATTGAGTCTATAATGACCGGTTAACGACCAAGGACGACGACTCTATACAGTGATAAAATGTGGCCTGGATATCGATCTCAATAGTTTACACTGTAACACGTATTGTCATCTCGGACAGACATATCTACTATATAACAGTGCTGCACGGACCTAAAATACGACATACCACTATTATTAGAGCCAAGCTGTCACGTTAACAAGTCGACATCGGCCATAAACCATTTACTCAGAATCACAACGGTAAATGCTATAAACACGGTACTATCACTCACACACAGAACTCTACAAACACACAACCTCACAAAAACTTACGTTTGTGACTTTGCTATTCTTTTACTTTTGAATGACGCCGCTTGTAGAAACCGAACAGACGCAGGCTCAGCTGAGATAGCAGTTCTCTTGCTCCTCTCACGCACGGGTCCATGGTTGGTGGTGACCCTGGAGCTGGACCTGTCGGTGACTGGTTTGAGGATGGATCTGTATTTGTCAAGTTCTTGATAAAGTCTCTGTATGAGAGCATCCTTTTCGTCCAGCTCCCCCTCGAGCTCATCAATGAGGTCATCCCTCTGCCTCAGCTCCTCGATCTTCTCCTGCAAGGCCAGTTGAAGATCCCTAAGAGTCCCCATGATCCCCGAACCTCGCTCGGTCGCGGGGCACGGCTTCGGCATTCACCTGCCCTAGTTAAAACCACAGGATAATCTGATAAAACCTCCAGGAATCTCGATCCAGCCTCCACCTTACGAGGTGCTTCAACTCAAGAATGCACGTAGACAAATTCTTCTAGGATGTTTCAAACAGCGGCTTGGATATGGACAGGCCCTGAATTTGTTCAGAAAACACCACACCTATGACCTGTTGAGAAAACCTAAGGTGTTTCATTGTCTAACAGGTAACACAATGAGCAGTGATGAAACCTTAGTTTCAACATGTGGTTAGCATCTCTCTGGCTCGTCATGATTGCTGATTTACTGAGCCGGAGACTACTACAGCCACCACATAATTACACTCCAAGTATATGCTTTCAGGGAGTTAGATATACGTGTCTATTCTATGACAGGTTATATGTCAGAAATAGCGTGGGCTTTTAATTTCACAGACATGTAAGAACGTCTTAGTTGAGCGAAATGCGACACCCGCCTTTTTGATATACAGGAATTAAAAATCTCAACAGATTGCGACATGTCTCGTGAAGCAAGTTACCAGTGACATAAAAGAAGTATCACCTTCAGTGTACCATTCTGCATAAAAAAATAAGTCATGCCACGCCGAAATTCAAACCTACCTTGTTTATCCATCACTTTTTTATAAACACATATATCCAATTTGGCGGTCAAACAAACACTGACTCCGACAGAACAGACTTCGTTGGTGAATCCTTATCTTTCGCAACAGAAGTTTTAACTGCGAAGCCGACAGACAGTATTCCCACAGCCTACGGTGATTAAACAGCGACTCGTTGAACAAGACACTAATCTTCTCAATGAAAAGTATTTGAGCTCAAGGATTCCATGGCCAAGCTGACAGCAAAACATTGTGTCTTCCTCCTCCGCGATACAATCTCGCCTATAGTTGCATCGCATCAATCAAACGCGAGGCCGGGTCGGTGTGGGTGATGCTTATGTTCATCCGCTTCCTCCTGTGGAATACCTGTGGCCACTCCTAGTAGAAAACAGAGTCTAAACTTCACTGCATCCCGCTTCACGACCTTTGACACTGTCCCGTGACCTCCGACCTGCGCAGCCATTTGACCAACATTCTGTGACAGCGCATGTCCTGTGTCAATGGCGACTGGGTGCTTTCACATCAAGGACGAGAAGAGCGAAGAAACATGCGTGCGTTCCCCTTCAACCCTTGCAGAAAATAAAATCGCTTGATATCTCAACCGGTATCGGTTTACACTTCAGGCACTGGCCGCTGAATGCACGAAGCGGAGGGTAAGTTACAGGCTAGGCGGGCACATTGATAACTGCGAGTGACTTGCTCTCCTCGAGTATACGAGCAAGGTACTTTTTACAGAAGGTGTTGAAATGGAATTGCTTATTTATCTAACCACGGACTATCGGGGCTATCCGCAATGAAATATTTGTGAATTAGACTGTCAGACACCGTAGAGATATCTTCAGTACATCTGATGTATATTGTTGATGATGACATCAGATATGTACTCGTTGAAAGATACAGAATTACAGGATGCCAATGCATCGTCTTCGCATTTGCACATAACACGTTTGTGTATTTGAAATACAACTATTATGTTAATTCGAAGATTCAACAAGAATGATCGTGACCAGAGCTTCCTCTTCAGAAGAAGCAATGAAATCTTATTGTTATAAACTGCACCTACACGTCGTGTACTAGTCGTGTCTCACAGTCCCTGAACCACATTATTTTCCCTACTGCCAAGCCCTCTCTGCAATACTAAAGCCCTGAATGAAGCAAGCCTAGGTCTCGCAGGGGCTCCTTTTCAATTTAAATGGGTTTGTTTGTGACTATCAAAATTATATATATTCAGAGACTAAGCGCTAGTCTAGTCGTGTACAGTTAGTTATACAGTGAAAACAGAAAACAGAATCGATTCTAATTTTCAGTTTAGTACCATATGGCAGCCTATAGAGTATCTATAAATATAATTTGCATTTTATTTATGTAGACATTTTAACCGACTTTGATATTGGAGCATGTAATATGGTTATTACTAGGAATAGCTTTAGGGTATTGCTGGAATGTATAGGCCACGGAAATGTATTAGCTCCGTGGGTGAAACGAGGCAGGAGCAGCCTTTTCATAATCAGGTAAAACAATTTTAATTGAGTGTAAACCATATGTTTCTGAGATGATGAGCTTATGCCAACACACCTTTACCTAGTCACGTTAACGCGCCACTCCTGAATCCGTTGTTTAGACACCGGAATAAACAGTGTTCTGTACCCGACAGGTGTGTTCTTTCTACATACATTTGAACCTCTATATATCAAACTCTTTTTCAGGTGTGAACTAACTTGCTCGGTTTCATTACACAGGTTACATTTTAGACAAACCATTGCCTATCTTCGATACCGGAAGACACCGGAATAAACAGTGTTCTGTACCCGACAGGTGTGTTCTTTCTACATACATTTGAACCTCTCTATATCAAACTCTATTTCAGGTATGATTAAACATGTTCGGGTTCCACATTACGGAGGTTACGTTTTAAACAAACCATTGCCTATCTTTGATATAGTTCATTTCATGTACTGTCCTTTATACCAAGGATGATGTTTTAGACCAAGTATTACTGTATATATATATATATAAATCACCCTGTATCCATTACGGAGAAAAGGTTTCTTTTAGACTCCACTGACGATGCCAATCTACTTTCGATCGTTTCCTGAAGATCATTCTTCTCCGAAGTGACATTAGAATTCCGGCATCTCGAAAACATTTAGTTAATCAGGTCTTGACATTAGAATTCCGGCATCTCGAAAACATTTAGTTAATCAGTTAGTGACAGTTTAGGCTGGTAGGGTGCGCTATACACATTCCTCGACCAAACACGCATGCTGAACTTATAATATACTGTAGCATAAAGCATGACTGATCGTATGGTTTCTCAACGATCACTTCTAGGGTTGTTGGAGTAGGTTGTTGGAGTTGGTTGCTGGACTCAGTTTATCGTAACAAATGAATACACCTTCACTGGGGAACACCTTATTCGTGCACCGCCTGTTCTCCCTATTTCTACAGTTCTTGGATTTGAAGAAAGTGATTTGAAGTTACGCAATGCTACGAGTATAACATGTTATTTTCAAAGAAGATTTGTTGTACTGAAGTTGGTGTTTATATGTTTACTTTCAGGAAATACTCGACCACGTGTAGCGGGCTCATCCTTCAGCGTGGATCTTCTAATCGAGAATGAACATGTTGCTACACGATCGAAGGTTAACACAGTGACTATGTTCTAACATGCGTGATTTGTTTGCGAAGAAGCTGTTTCACGCTGAATTACCTTAAAGTATGACAACTAACATGAACATCGGTCTTTACTATCAAAAGCTAATGCTAGATGAAACCACGTGTCCTAGTCATATGTTATACGTGTGTTGACACACACTTTTCACAATGACCTACACCTGGGCTGTATAAACGCTTACGTAACATTCTTCGCCTGGAACTAATGTAATAACCAGCACACTCCTCAGGCAACATCAATTACAAATCAAAGCTATCAATATCAGACTATCCTTCATTTCCACAAGCCCGAGCGAGATTCGATCCTGACTATCAACAAGCCATCTGCTGCAATTGTTTTGACTGTTAAACCAACTGTGCTCACTTCTGACAACAAAGACGTGCCTTGATTGAAATAACCTACCAAGGAGGAAATGTTAGAGTTCCATTGAAAGCTTTAATTGATTCTGTAACTGGCTGCTGGGTGTTATTGGGTGTTGCTCGTAGAGCTTACCGTCGTCTGGGTGGTGATTGGTGTAAGTCTAGCCAGGTAGGGCCATTACTCTAAGCTCCATACAACAGACGGAGCTGGCGTTCGAGCGCTTAACATTAACAATTAGTCCACTCCGGGAAGAGGCAAGTTTGCTAGTGTACTAAATAGTCGATTAGAATTTTTGATAATGGGGCTTTGAGATATCCCGAACATAAACACAGAATACTGATCAATATGTGCCGCTGTTATTTAGTCGTTGGTTGGTCGAGTTGTTGTTTAACGTCTCACTCAGCTATATGGCGGCGGTCTGTAAATAATCAAGTTGGACCAGACAATCCTGGCCAGTGATCAACATCATGAGCATCGATCTACACAAGTGGGCTGCGAGGACCTGTGTCAACCACTCTCCCTCAATGTGCGTGTAGATATAAAATATCTAATTACCAGACCAGTTAAACGTTGTATACCGCGAAGTAACAATATGTAAACATTGTTATTATCAAATTCTATTTTGTTGATGTAATAACAGGTCGAAAGCTCTTTGATAAATAAATAAATACAAGTTAAAATATCTAATGGCGTTGCATGCAGCTCTCAAAACCAGGGCTTCTTGATCCCTCTTCGAAATTGAAGCACTCGTAAAATATGTAGAAAAAATATTGGTCTCCAGAAATCGTCACCTTACCATGTGTGATTAACTGTATCGAAGGCTCCATATCTATTGTTTGGTTGAGTGTCAACGTCAACAGGCAGTCCTACAGTAAAACCACTGTGATAAATGGAGTCCCGCTAGAATGTCGAAATATTTATGTTTGAATTAATTCCTAATCAGACTGCCTGCAATCAAAGTGTCGTAAAGTAGTCATGTCTGATGAACGGATAATTACATTCCCAACTCGACCAATCAATAAAAGATGGGAAGATATGAGTGACTGACCGCTTTGATTTGGCACGTTTTCTCTAAACATTTACTTGTACCCCTGTGCTTGTAAAATCTGAATTGCTTCAAAACATGACAACCAGTTAAAATCTGTTATACAATGGCTCACGAGATATCGTATTGAATATGTTTGATATGGATGTAGTGTTAACACAACCTCGGAACAAATCGATCGTACTTTCGGTGAGTGGACAGGCTCCAACCAAGATTACGGTCGCGACAAACGCCATCACATTATAGCAAGCAACCTGGTGTATTACTGAGAGATTTAAGGTAGATAATAAGCATTCGGAATTATTTGAAATAATGTGTAGCCGATACACGTGATTTAATTTGACAATGACACCATTTTTGCCGACACACAATGTATTGACAAGCCTTTTCAACTTCTCATATATTTTATGGCAGTCCTGTTTTACAGTCTTCGAAGAGACACGTTACGTCATCGTCCAATAAAGGTTTGCGCTATGAAGGAAACGATCTATGACAGGTTTTCTTGAAGGCATCACAATTCGTCTGCAGCCTGGTTCCCTGAGTCTGTTGCGCCTGCGCTAACGCTCCGGAGCGTTAGTGCAGACGCAACAGACCCAGGGAACCAGGCTGAATTCGTCTGTCGTGCCATCTTTTCATCGATTAAGGCTTGCACCCATCACAACACAACACACTGGTGTGGACGCCATCAGGTACACTTAGCTCTACGAATGTGCTGCTACAGCGTTTATGTACCCAATGTCACCAGCTATGAAAGGAACATTTGGACATTAAAATCTGTAGCACAATGTTTACCGTTCGTTCTACAATATACTATTATAAAAGGTGCCGTTACAAGAAGCAATGAGGGCGAGAGAGTGCCTTTTAGTTTTACGCAGCTTTTAGCAATATTCCAGCAATATCACGGCGGGGGACACCAGAAATGGGTTTCACTTTTTGTACTCGTGTGGGGAATCGAACCTCATTCTTTAGCGTGACGAGCGAATGCTTTTAACCACTAAGGGATAATTTGAAAATAGCATCAAGCCGCGACTATCTTTTCAAGAGGAGAAATCAATTTCTTAAAATAGCCTCATCTTTTTGGGCGGTGGGGTAGTCTAGTGGTTAAAGCGTTGACTCGTCACGCCGAAGACCCAGAATCCCCACATTTTGAGTGAAGTGTTGAGGAGAAATCAGGAATATTGCTTAAGGCGTAAAGCCTCTCATCTCAGTCATCTACCTTTACATTTATGTCATATTTACTTCCTTCAAACATGTTTCCGACGTTACATATCGGTGATCCTACAACGATCAATGCACGTAGCAATCCTATACAGGTCATGTTGACACGCTTCAAGACGTTGTTACCAGTAACACATTCATAATGTTACACATTCTCATCGTCCAATTGACAGCATTTAGCGAAGATATCGTACGAATATGAAAACTGTCTTGTGGCGTATTTTAGTTATCAAAGCCATCAGGTCCTCCATCAACTCGTTAGTTTCGTGAAGACCCTATTCTGTGACGCTTATCACCGCTTAGAATTTGATTCTAATAACAATATGCATGGCGTGTTGACATGATGCTTAGAAAAATAGTGTCTGAAATCATGTTCAGAACAGTACGCCTACTCTGAATGGAAAGCGCTGAAACAACACAAACCTACCAGAAAACACTTTAACTGTTTTCCGTCAAATTAATAGAAATCAGTGGGGAAATCAGTGTCATGAAGACAATGGAAAGTGTATTTGTGATATTGATTGAAACCATGAGGGCTACGCTGTTTTCTTTTCCCTCCGCGCTGCGTCAAGCATGTTTACATTAATCAAACCCCAGAAAACAATACATGCCATGTCGGTGAGTAAGCAGTAGGTTTAGGACACAGTCGTGTTATCACTACTGAGTAACACTGTGTCACCGTGACCTGCGCACTACGGAATCACTGTGGCTGACTCATGTCACTGACTTGCAATTTCCTTTCCTTCCTATGTCGGGATGACACCGTGTAAATATGTACAGTGCAGAGGTCGATAGTACAGTACAGAGGTCGATGGTACAATGCAGAGGTCGAACGGGGATCGAATCCACGATTCAACAGAAAGTAAAACCTTTGGTTTGTCGACACCATGCCAGTGACTAACTGTTTTAACAAAGTATAGTCAAACACCGTTGTGTCGAACATGCAGTTGTCTCGAAGTAAAAACTCCCTGCGTATTCTTTATTTAGTCATTATTTTGTGGTTGTGTCGAACCTCGAATAGCTCAAGCATTTAAACCCGATGTGACAGCCTAATACAATCTCTCGGCGGCGTAAAATGCACTTCAACGTCATTCGCATTTAAACCTGGTGACAGAATGCAAGCGTATTGAACGTTACCTTCGACGTGGCCAGCGGGCGGTTAAATCGCAAGGCTATGCATTGGACCTTGGACGTCTTTACAACACTGTTGGGATCCGGACGTCTTGGAACATTATTGACTCCGGAGTAATAACAGTTGTATTAAAAAGGTTCGCAAGTCATATCTGTATATTCAAAATCGTACATAAATTCGTATTATATGGTGAAATGGAGAATGAGGTTTTACACCGCTATTACAATATTCCAGCAATAACGCGGCGAGGGACACCAGAATAGAGCATCACATATTGTACCCACAATGGGAATAGAATACGGGCCATCTCCGACCGCCTTAACTACCATAATGCTCACTGCCCTTCCACATCATCTAAACATAAATACGATGAGAAAGACTCACATCTAAATGATGCAGGTTAATTACATGTGCATTCCATTCATCAACCGTACCAAGTAAAACACATTGCCACTTGCATTTAGCACCCTTTAACGTGTTGTCTTGAAAGTGTAAGAAATGCTTCCCCTGAGCAACAGTGTTCTCAGAATGATCGTTCAGAAACGATCCAGTTACGAAACAGATGCTGAGATCAGCCTCCACACGGTGTATAAGTAAAGCCATCGGCGTGATACATGGGTCACACATGTCAGCTCCCAGGCGTGAAAACAGGTCGTTCGGTACCTTCTGACCGCTGTGCCTGTCTATGTGGGGAATAAACAACCAATCCGATATGTACATTGCTGTAATCTATTGACGTTACTGTTGTAGGAAACGTTGTTTTATATGTCTTTTATGTTACGTTGATAGATTTATGGTCTTGTTTTCTGTTTACAACTCTGTTGGGAGCATTTAGCGAGACTAGGGAAACCGCCCAAACTGACTGGAAGTTGCATGGAAACTACAGGTATACAAATTCATTGAATGTCATCGGTATTCGTAATTTGACAATGCTGCATATACAAGATGAACTCCTGTTAATTAAAGACAAAGAATACAGACTTCGAGATAACTCGATAGCAAGTGCGTGTATGCCCGTCACTTGTTTACGTGAGTATGGAGGCATGAAGGTATCTTTGGTTCTCGGGTTCTTACGGTTATGAGAAAGGGTGGGTGCGGATAAACACCACTCCCCCACCCCCATCCCCATCCCCGAAAACAACACCCACACTGAAGGGGACTTTATTTACATCTTAGACGGTGTCCATATTTGAAGTGTCATACAAATCCTCATGCAAAGCTCCCAGCCCCAGGATTGTTTTTGATTGAGTTTAGCTATACTCAGCCATATTCCAGCCATATGGCGGCGGTCTGGAAATAATCGAGTCTGGACCAGACAATCAAGTAATCAACAGCATGAGCATC